TTCTACCCGGTCACAGCAATGGTGAGGGAGGCTGAGAAATGTAATCCAGCCATGTCCCAGGAAAATGTTCAACAGTTTGGTGAGAGCTGCAGTTCCTCCCAACCAAGACCTCAGAATTTGATCTTAAGTTTCTCATGACTTAAAAATAAAATGTCTGGGTGGCGCCCATAACTCAGTGGGTAGGGTGCCAGCCACATACACTGAGGCTGGTGGGTTCGAACCCCCCCTCACCCTCTGGCAAGCTAAAACAACAATGACAACTTCAACAACAATAACAAAATAGCCGGGAACTGTGGTGGGCGCCTGCAGTCCCAGCTACTTGGGAGGTTGAAGCAACAGAATTGCTTAAGCCCAAGAGTTTGGGGTTGCTGTGAGCTGTGATGCCACGACACTCTACCCTGGGGCAACAGCTTGAGACTCTGTCTCAAAAATAAATAAATAAATAAAATGTTGGAATTTCTTTAGTGAGGGATTTTTAAAATTCACAGTTTTTCCCAGTTTTTCTGATCATGTCAGAAAATGTATTTTTTGGTTTCAGGTTTATGGTCAATGCAAAGTGATATTTTATCATGACAGGCCACGCAGAGTCCTCTATTTACCTGCTTATAACTGTACTCTTCGCCCAGGTAAGAAATCACTATGATTTTTGTTAAGTTTAATAAAAGATGCAAAAGATCGTTCAACCAGGGCTCACCAAGAGTGTACATGTATTTCCCCCATCCTTATTCTGGCTTCACTCTAACACTAGTTGCTTTATATTTCCAGAACTTGCTTCCTCCTTGAAATTCATCCCTTACTGCTCCTCTTTCCACAATTATTCTTCCTAAATCACCTTCAATAGCTATCTATCGTGTTTTGTATCAAATCCTAAATTTCACCTTAGGTAAGTGGCATGCCCTCTGTGGCTGGTCCCCAGCTCCCTTTCTAGCTTCCTCTGCTGTTCCTTCCCTGATCACAGCAGCCCTGCGTTCCACGCCACCGGATGCCTCTCCACTGACTCACATAGCCCGGTCTGGGCTGCGTCTCGCTGTGCCTCTCCCTGTGCCGAGCATGCCCTCTCCTGATCCCATCTGGCCTTTGAACTCACAGCCATCCTTTAAGGCCCACCCCTGGTGCTGCTGCTTCTGCAGTGTCCTGGGTTCTAGGAAGGCGCAGTGCTCTTCGGTCCTACATTCCTGTGTAGCTCTGACCACAGCACTCCGGGAACACAGACGATGAACTGCTTTGGTTTGGGGTCTCATCTTTTATCAGGTAGACATTTTATCCTTTCTTCGTCCTTGCTCCCCAGTTCCTATCAAGTGGAAAGTGTCAACAAGTGGACTCAAAATGAGGCTGAAACCAATGACATTCAAAAAATGCTCAGGCATTCATCCAACATCCTCCCATTTCCCAGGGTGTTTGGGAAGACAGGATCCATGGCATAGGAAGTGGAGTGTGGCTACTCGACAACCTGCCACGTGTGTGTGTGGCTCCCCGGGTGGGTCTTGTTAAGGTGCAGATTTTGATTGTATAGGTCTAGGTGGGCCTGAGGTCCTGCCTTTCTAAGCCCCAGGTGATGAGAAGTCCCTGGTTCCTTTGAGTAACCAGACAAGGGACCAAACATTTCATCACGCACAGCCTAAGGTTCCTGGTTCGAAAGACAAGACTCACCTAAGGTAAATTAGAGAACGGCAACTAATAAATTTTCTCAGACTTGCATGCAAGTCACAAGTACCAGAGCTATGGGAGGTCGGGAAGGATGCAGCGTGACAAGCAAGGGATATAACTCCCCATACTCTACCCCAGCCCCCAAACACACCCAGGTAGACACATAATTACTCAAAACTGTTTACTCTACAAAAACGTCCTTGAGATAAGTTTTCTAGTCTGACCTTCACTCTAGATTCACCACCCCACAGAACAGAAATTCTGGCTGTGCTGTGTGTATTATCATTTCATTCAGTCACACAGGGATTTGGACAATTTTCTGTGCTGGCTCACTTGTATTTTCTTTCTTTTTTTAACATTTAAAATTTTAATTTAAAAATAATAATGGAACATATTCATGGGGGACATAGTGATGTTGCCATATATATAATGTATGAACATGAGATCAGGACAATTAATATAGCCATCATCTCAAACACTGATGATTTCTCTGTGTGGGAAACATTCATTATTCTCCTTCTACCTATTTAAAACAATAATACAGAGGGCGGC